CGTCACAACACGACCGGGACACCATCAAAACATGACCGGGACACCATCACAACATGACCGGGACACCATCAATCAAGAAACGACAAGATAAGGAGGCGCGGTTCTCCGCACAGAGTGAACGGGCGAAGGCGGCAGTGTCCCCCCCAGCCAAATCAAGATCAGCGCCACCCCAGAGTCAGGAGCTGAGTCCGGAGGATGGTGAGACCAGGTCAGGAGGAGAGGTAGCCACAGGCTTCCGGCCCGCTCCGCGCCCCTTTGCACACCCCAAGGGCATGCACGAATATAAGATCGCCTTTGCAGCCCATTCGAGAGTTGCTGCTTTCGTCTCTCCGGAACAGCAGAATTGCAGCTTCGAGCATCTCACCACCCTGCCTTCGGAAAAGATCTACATAGGGTGTCAAGTCGGCAAAGTATATCGAATGGTACTCCGAGAAAACCACAGGGCTTATGCTCTTCTTGTGGTTCTCTTGGAGTTTGTTGCGCAACCCAAGAAGAAATCCAAACAAGGAACGAATGAATCCTGGGAAGAAACTGCTGCTAGACAGAGCAGTCCCCGATCCTGGTTGGTGGCACACATTCCCACGCCGGAGTCTTTTGTCGACACAAGAAGAGACAGGCATCACCACGCCTGCAATGGGCGTTGCCACCCAGCATGTCCAAAACATGACCGGGACACATCACAACATGACCGGGACACCATCAAAACATGACCGGGACATGACCGGGACACCATCAAAACATGACCGGGACACCATCACAACATGACCGGGACACTATCAGAGCTGGTGGGCGGATGGCGTCCCGGTCATGTTTTGATGGCGTCCGGGTCATGTGATGCTGGTGTCCCGGTCATGTTTTGATGGTGTCCCGATCGTGTTTTGATTGTGACCCAGTCATGTTGTGACGGTGTCCCGGTCCTGTTTTGATGGTGTCCCGGTCATGTTTTGATGGTGTCCCGGTCATGTTGTGATGGTGTCCCGGTCGTGTTGCGACGGTGTCCCGGTCATGTTTTGATGGTGTCCCGATCATGTGATGGTGGCGCGGTCATGTTGTGATGGTGTCCCGGTCATGTGATGGTGTCCCGATCATGTTGTGATGGTGTCCCGGTCATGTTTTGATGGTGTCCCGGTCGTGTTGCGACGGTGTCCCGGTCATGTTTGATGGTGTCTCGATCATGTGATGGTGGCGCGGTCATGTTGTGATGGTGTCCCGATCATGTTTTGATTGTGTCCCAGTCATGTTGTGATGGTGTCCCGGTCCTGTTTTGATGGTGTCCCGATCATGTTTTGATTGCGTCCCAGTCATGTTGTGATGGTGTCCCGGTCCTGTTTTGATGGCGTCCCGGTCATGTGATTGTGTCCCGGTCATGTTGCGATGGTGTCCCGGTCATGTTTTGATGGTGTCCCGGTCGTGTTGTGACGGTGTCCCGGTCATGTGATTGTGTCCCGGTCATGTTTTGATGGTGTCCCGGTCATGTGATTGTGTCCCGGTCATGTCCCGGTCATGTTTTGATGGAATAGAAATGCTGCATGGCCAGCGGAAAAGGGCGGACACCAGCAGTGACAGACCTGGAAAACAAATGAATAGAACTGTTGCATCGCCAGCGGAAAAGGGCTGACACCAGCAGTGACAGACCTGGGAGACAAATGAATAGAAATGCTACATGGCCAACGGAAAAGGGCGGACACCAGCAGCAACGGACCTGGGAGACAAATGAATAGAAATGCTTCATGGCCAATAGACAAGGACACACCAGTGACAGACCTGGGAGACGAAAGAATAGAAATGCCAGCGGAAAAGGGCGGGGAGACACATGAATAGAAATGCTGCATGGCCAACGGACAAGGGCGGACACCAGCAGTGATAGACCTGGGAGATGAATAGACATGCTGCATGGCCAGCGGAAAAGGGCGGACACCACCAGTCAGACCTG